GGAATGAATACTGGAATGTGAGTTCCAGGAGGTTGTCCTATGGCAGCTCGGATTTCTTCAGGACCGAAATAGTCAGGGCCGATGGTGTAGGTGCCCTGCGGGAGAGGATCGGTGGTGCGATCGAAACGGTTAATCACCGAGTCGAAGGTGTCACCAGGATAGATAGCAAATCGGTTGCGCTGGGGGAGAGGAGGTGGAAATTCTTCCAGAATTTCCACGCTTGATGTGGAATCAATAGGTGATGGTGGACGAAGTGACACTGGAGCGGAGTGGAGAGGGAAGTCGGGAGTGTGTGTTGAAATGTCGGGAAGTAAGTGCTCCGTCAATGCGTCTGACAACGCGGGTGACGGAGATCGCAGGGAAGGAGGGGAAGGTAGTTTCGCCTTTAGTGTATGATGCGTGGCCGGCGGAGCCGGTGATGGCGAGGGTGGGTGAAGTAACTGTGCTGGCTGTTGTGTAGGTGTAGGTAATAATGTGGGTTGTCGTGCGTCGTCGGTAGATTTTGTTTGATCGTTACAGAACTCCTGGTACGCTAGATCTAGGAGTCTGCGCGTTTCGAGGAAAGCCCGACTTTTTAGCCAACCTCGATGGGGACGGTGGCGCTTTGATCGAGGTTTCACTACGGGGTGATTCGAGTTAAGTTTTGAGGTGTATAATTTGCGAGGAGCGACTTACTGCTTGGTTGTCCGGGCAGACGGGTTGTCTGGATACTTGTTGGTCGGTGATTCGGTTCCCTTGGTCTCGTGGATGGTGATGCTGACCGAATTTGAGCACTGATTCTAGAGTGACTAAGTGAAAATATATTTCTCGAACTCCGACTTTACTCTGACTTTGACTCTGACTTTGACTCTGGCTTTTACTCTAATTCTGACTTTTACTCTGACTTTAACTCTGGCTTTTACTCTAATTCTGACTTTTACTCTGACGCTGCGTCTCGCGATGTCGTGATTTAAATAGTCGTTTTTTAGGTGGTGGTTCCATAGTAGGATGTGTCAAATTGGGAAATTGAGGAATCAGTTTCACAGGATTTTGGTATGATAACAGGCCTTGACTGGTCATTGGGAAATTTCCCTCAAGTTAGCTCCGCCTGCTGTGTCAATTTGATTCGCTCTTATTCTTATTGGTGATAAGGTATCACCTCCCTAAAGGTTTCAGACTCACGATCGCTTATTGGAGAGTTTCGTTTCTGGGGAGGGATGGGTTGTAAGTTACCTATTTCCCTTTTTATCAACATCTGTTTAAGGGAAAAGGTAATCTACTTTTTATCAACATTCCTGGATTTAGTTAATCTTGTTCCTTGGGAAGCAAGAAACGTGAATTATTATTTTGTTGATTTTCCCATCATCGGAAAGTGTCATTATTAGATTTATGACCCTTTCTTAAGCCTATGCGCAAGACTATTATCGTTAGATGTGCGTGATATCGGCGTGGGATGATTCAACATCTTACCTTCCCTCGAGTATCGCGTTCGCGATATGACCTTTATCAAGAATGTTCGATTCTGGATCCGGCTTAGCACCTTGGTGCTAACGGCGCGGTTTGAAAATGATTATTCGGTTTCTTTTTCCACGATATTCGAGAGAAGATTAAAGGCTTGGTTATCGCGGGTTACTAAATTCTGAATAAACATATTTTTCTGCTGGGAAAGTTTCTTCGGATTTATGTTATCGATTGAATTTGTTCGTATCTTACTTTATTGATCGAACGATCGTAAAACGAAGAAATCGTGGAGTACACTGGACGTAACATACTAACCCAAGGATAGTTCCCCAAATTAGAGCACTTAAGACGTATACACTATGCGGATAATTTAACACACAATTTTTACAAATAATATCAAAATCTGTGTCGAAAATAAACCAACTAAAGTATATAACCATTGCAAAATTTTGAAAAATGTATACAATCCATAGTATTGCTATTCGAATTATCCATTTACGCAACCGTTGGTATTCTTTTGTCGCACCGATTGCTTCCATTATATCGTCCACTAAGGAAAGTTCGTGTAAACACATTTCCAATTCCTTTAAAAAATTATATTGATCGATTATATGCAACATAAAAGGCAATTTTATACTTGAAGAAAAATTGTTATTGCAATGTGTATAGGAAATGCGATAGATAAAAGATTTACAAGAAAGATTAGTATTTAAAGCATAAGATTTAAAAATATTACGTTAAAAGCTAATTTGAGAGTGTATAAATACAAAGATTAATTTTACTAAACACATTCTGTTTACAGTAAATAATAATATGAACAAAAAAATTGATCTGTCTTCAAAAACTTTTTATAAAGAACTCCTCACAAATCTTATGAAAAATGAGTTTCAGTCAAATTGCTTTAAATTATATATTCAATTTGTAGTTCGTGACAAGTTAATTAAAATTCTTCACGAGCAAAAAAGTAAGATCTTCAAATTTCTTACTTTTTTTTGCTCTAAAGCGTAATTTACACGGGGCGATTTTTATTAGCTAGAAGCCTCGTTTTGTGACGTCATAACGAATACACTACTAAAAACTTCTTCTAGACGCAGGTTTGTTCTTGTTAGCGTCAAGTCGCGGCGAATACTGCTTTCGACGCTTGTCGCTAGTTTGTCGCTAGCTTGTCGCTAACTTCTTGCGCTTCTTATCGTTGTCGATAAACACTTTGATTATAGCTCTTCCAGAGCGAATTTTTAAGTCGTCAAGGGACCACTCGGCGCTGTAACTTCAAAATTTTAGACGATAAGGGCGATTTACACGGTGCTATTTCTGACGCTTAACGCTGGCTTCTTTGATCGCCAAATTTTCGCTCCTCCTAGAGCGAATTTCTGGCTGATAAAGTCGTCAACGTTAAACCATTTACACGATGCTGCTAACCATTAAAAGT